CTTATCTGATAATTAGTTTTTCTCCCAACAGTTACATGCTCTATCACTGTTGTTATACTGTTGTTATATTATTGTGCTGATGTTTTGCTTCTTTCTCATATGTAAGTGGTGTCTGTGACTGCCAGGCTGGTTTTGTTGCTTATTCCTGTGTTTTGACTTTGTGCACTCAGTGTTTACTAACAAGATCTCATTGCAAGTCTTTAATTCATTAAACATGTGGGTCACGCTGCGGTTTATGAGCAGTAACACTGCCTGTCACCCTCTCTCTCCCTGGCTCGAGCCCTCACCGATGAAAAGTCGGGAAGCAATTAAATTTACACCTGGACTCAACTCCTTGTTGGGAATAAACGACTCTTCAAGGTTTTAACCTACAGGATGTGCACTTCATCATTTCCACCTAATAAATGATTTTTTTTTCTTTCATATGCATTTCATAATGCTGCTATTCTTAATATTTGTTGAGTCTTGAGTCTTCTGAGTCTTCTGGCTCCAGCCGCTGAGCTGAGAGGTCATGGTGTTGTTAGAACTTCTCAGTCCCCATCAACAGGATGGTTTTGGTTATTTGTCTGATTGATAACCTAAGGATCTTACGTAGAATTAAATGTACAGTAAAAAGTGGAGGAATTTATGTCATTATTCTATTGTATTCAGTTACGAGGGGGAAGTAGAAGGTTATTATATTTGCTTTGTAGTTGACATTCTGGCCTGAAAAGGGCATACTTATTTAATCAACATCAGCTACAGTCCAAAAATGATAAATATTTTTTTCTCTCCAGGATTTCATAAATTACTCATTCTTTTGCTTCTCCTAGCATTCCATTGAATGTCACAACTATTGTTACTACCTTACTGCTGCGTCTGCGATCACTAAGAACAGTAATGCCTAACCACTGCCATCGCTGGTAACAACAATGAGAACAATAATATCGGATGACGTGTTTCAGAATCAGTTTTCTTTTCCTTAGGAAGATCTAAATCAGTGCAAACATACTCAGACAATGCTCTTTGGCGTAGTAACTTTCTTCATATCACAAAAACATTTCCACGACCTGTTTGTCTTTAATCAAAGATCCCCGTCCGGATGTCTAAGTCATTTCTTCAGCGTGTCAGAAGCATCATGCATTGCCTTTTTTTAGAACTGTCACAAAAGCGAAGGACAGGGGGTCAGCCATTTTCAGCTGCTGCAGCCTCTGAGAGAATGGTTCGCAGGGTATCTCTCATCTCTCCTTTTGTCAGCTGTTAAACAGAGAAACCTCTTCAGGGACAGGTGGAAGGGAGCAACTGCTTTCACGGACAGCAGAGTTCATTCGTGCCGTTATTATCATCCATAATAACGTTTTTTTTCCTGCACTTCAATACCCACCCAGAAAGCTGATAACAAATACCACAGTCTACACAGAATCTACCCCCGTGACCGTTCTCTGCACAGGGAGAGAAATACCAGCCGTCAATCACTCTGCGGCCTAATGCCAGTTAATTAAGTGAGTGGAATGTCAATAAAAAGTGAGGTCCCGGGTTTTATTTACACAAAACAGAGTGAGCGGAACAGGGAAGCAGACTCCCCCTCTCTCATGCACATTTAAGATGTTTTTAATCATTCCTCTCATGGTTAATGTAATTATGAACATTATTGTATATTAAATATATGATTATGACTCTGTGCCATTTGTGATATGGCTATACAAACTACCATTGCAGATAGTGTTATATTTGTTTCCCTCTCCTTACTTAAGCCAGCAGCAGCCAGCTTGGCCATTAAAAGGTATCGATCAGACTGGGGAGCTGCAGGAATCTGAACAGGTCTTGGGAGCCGAGGCCTGCTGTGCATGACAAGGTCTGATTCCTGAGGCTCATGTGGCTGTTTGTCAGACGGTCACAGTTCTTTCTGGGCACCAGGGCCGTCCAGGGAGACGGTCCGGTGGGCTGAGGAGGAAGGACTCCTCACACGCTTTCAGACTCTGCGGTTGGCTTGAGTGAAGCCAATGTTTCAGGACTCTGCTACCTGAGGAGGGCGTCTTTTTTAATACTTTGTAGGTTGTTCTTGCTGCCGCAGCAGAACTGCCAAGACCGTCACCCAGGTAAATTGGACAAGATGAGCCAACAAGTCTAATAGGATGCATTTGAAATCGAGAATGGGAGACAGTGTTGTGGGAATATGGACGAGCATGTGTTTGGAGAGGAGATCCTGCATTCCTTCAAGAAATGGCTCGATGAGACCCTCAGATCAATTGTGACCAAACTGGCTAGATGGGTGGATGGCTTCCTTTTGCTTGTAACTCTTCTTATGGGACTGCAAATGTCATAGAGCTACAGTACTACAGTACTTCATATACACTTGTTGGCAATCATGTTTAGTTATGGGTGGCTGTACAGAGATATGTTTTTCCTCCCACACTGGTTTGCTTTATTAATAGTTGACAATATGCATCCTACTGTAAACATGCTGGCGATGTTGGAGAAACTATTATTGTATATCATGTGTAGTGTGTTGCTAGCACTCTGAATCCAGGCACCCATCTGGCTTGTACTGTTCAATGGTACCACGCTGCATCATTTCTTAATAGCCTAAGACATGTCATCTGTTAACACCCTGCATCAGAGTTCATGGTTCTGTATTTAATAGCTTGTCTCTGAACATGTTTTGCATAAGCCTGCTGTCTTCCTAATCATTTTGTTGTATCAAATCAGCTGAAAAAAGCTATTATTGATGCTTGTCATAAAATGTTGAAGAATGTTTTTATTTTATTTATTTATTTTCCTTGAGCTGTGCGAAAGATGTAATTTGAAACCAGTCAAGTATTCTAAAAGATGAAATTGTATTTTGGTATCCCTCTGATTGTTGGATCTGCAGGGCAGCTCTGCACTGGGGAGGCATGGATCGAGAGGGAAAACAGAGCTCAGTGTTGCAGTTTTGCAAGTTGATGTCTGAGAATATTGTATGTTGTAACAGCATACAGTACATTGCAAATGGCTGAATGATTTTATAGGTTTAGCTATTATTGTATATTGGATTGTTTTAGTGGTATTTTACAGTTTTAGGTAAACAATTTATTATTGTTTAGCTCTTAATGTTAAGCACTCAGTATAAAATAGGCAAACAATGTTTGACACCAGTTCTGTCTGTATATGTGCTCACATTACTACTTCATTTCCACCTAGAAAAGGTAACTAACATTTTGTGGTAAAATTAGAGTGCAGAGTGCTACTCACTAGTCATACCTGCTCACAGAAGGTCCACAGTGGCATTTATTTCCCAATGTTGTGCAGCATTATGGACTCAGCAAGAAAATTTGCAAGAGTTTGTCTTTACTAATGGCATGCAAAAAACTGTTTTAATTATACAGTAGCTCATCAAAAGTAGCTATTTGTTTCTGATGAGGTTCTAGGAAAACCTTACCTAAACGTGAAGACATTCACCTCGGCTAAGAATGGCACATCAGCTCTGACTAGAAACACTCTGATAAATAATGATGTTTTGTTTTCAGATTGTCTGTTGGGTATACGGATTCCATTGACCATTTTCTAAATGAGTTGAGCTTTCTTTTTCCTTGAAAAACATGGTTCAGTACAGATGCTCAATTATTATTATAAAAAAATGAACACTTGCTGTGATTTAGAGTATATTTGAATAAATGCTGTAAATTGAAAAGTTTCTGCATAGTGTCTAATACTGAGATTAAGCAAAGCATTTCACACAGAAGCTTTTGAGTGCCTTCTATTATGCCACAAATACTATAACTTGTCAGCATACAGAGGATTTACAGTGAAGCTTTTTTCAGTCATCCCATCATTTCATTAGACACTTATATCTTAAGGTTAGGACAATTGTGCATAATCTTTGTTGAAATACACAATGAAGGGTCATTTTTTCCTGTCAGTGGAATAGAAATAAACTGAGGAGAAGCTCACATCCGGAGAAGCCGTCACTTCATTTGCAATTGTAAAGTGTTTGCTGTTCTCCGGTTGTGGTGAAGATAAAAGCATGGATGTTCACTTTGCTCAAGGAAACATTGTTATAGAATGTATTGTGTCTTCACATATAAAATACATACTGTATCCTTCTGCTGTACCTGAAGACAAATGTTGCATGTACTCCCTTGTCAGACTGTAAGTGTGAGAAAAATGTACTGTGCTTCACAAAAAATAGCATTTGGAATCAGTTGTGGAATATCACGTGGCTTGATACTTGTATTGAAATAAAAAAAATGTATTTGGAGAAGTAAATGTTATGGCTTTCCTATTCTGTTGTGCAATAGGTTTACTAGGCGTTGTTGGTCTTATCCAGATCTACTGTTACCTAATAATGTGGATTATTAGGAATGTCTCAGATGTATTTTTGAAGACAGCACACAAACTCAGCTTTGTTGCAAACCTTCAAAGATCTTGAGATTTGCCAAAGAAATACTGACTTTAAGGTCAATCTTTTAAAATTTGTACTTAAAAATCATTTACACTGCTCCGAAATAGCATATTTTAAAATAAATTGCAGTTGAAAGAGGGGGCATTAGCTTTTGTGAAGCCTGAAATATACAGTTGGTTTATTGTATTCTGTTTTACTGACAATGAAATGGATTGGGTAGGAAAGATATATTATTGTTCTTCAAACAAAAGATTTGTGATGACAGCATTTAAGGAACCATTTTGTTTCAAAGCAGTAATTTTAATCAGCAGCTATAGGAATGTGAAGCATATTGCCAAGGCACTTGGAAATTAAAAATAAAGAATTGGTCTTAATGATTTTCACAGATTACAGTTGGAAGCGTATTCTAATGAGCACTCACAATTAGACCATTTCAGTGCAATCAGCTATGAAGAAGGAGAACATAATAAGGTCAGACCAAACCTCACTAGAAGTCAACTGTGGGCTTATTAGTTTTATTACAGATGAATCTTAAACTCCGGCAGCAAATATGCTACTTGGTTTCACTGCCAGAGCCTTACATTACTATTCAAACCCATTAAATGGTTTATTGTATTTTTTGCCACTTGTTTTATTTCAGAGACTTCAAGCAGCTGTCTGAGGAAGAAGAGATGTCCCAGGTGAAGCTGCTTCTACAGCAGTGGACTACGCTGGGATTAACAGACGTCCATGTAACCAATTACACGGTTCTTCTCGGCCTGCCTGGTTCCTCTCCCAACACCATCACTGACAAAGCCAGCAGCCGCTGCTTTCTTCCTAACGGAAAGTCCTGTGATCCCAAGAGCTATAATCCTCAATCCATGGAGCAGCTCTTCACCTATGCAGCCTATTCTGCAAACGGCACCCTGGAGGTACAGTACTTGAGATTTCCCGGCCTGTTTCCTTATTGATTGCTGTCTATTCGTTCTGAATTTTTGGGGAATGACTGACTGGTGAATATAAACAAGGATTATTTTTACAATTGCACTGTCAAATTATTCAGTAGTTTTCTAACCCCCGTCCCATTTAAGATCAGAATTATTCTAAATAATTGGAAATGTTTGGTTTTTAAAATGTTTTATTCAGGAGAAAAAGTGGAATTTGTATGCTTCTCTACCTAAAAAGAGAAGCAAAATTTGTAAAATGTAAAATAAAACTTTCGCTAAGGTCCGTTGTCTTGTTTAGTGTCTGAAATATCCCCCCCCCCCCCCCCACCTTTTCAGATGAACC